TGAGCGCCGGCATCCTCACAGGACCTCTGAGCTGCGCCCCCTCCTCCCGTCACCTCCTCTCCACTCCCCTGCGCGGAGTCTGCTGCAGCCGCGTGGCCCCTTGGTGGCCTCTCAGACTCCCCAACCACTCCCCTGCCTCGGGAGCTTCGTGACTGCTGTTCCCTCTGCTCAGAATGCTCTTCTCCATGCTTAGCATGTCCCTGCCTCCAGATATCTTTGTTCAAATGCCATCAGCTCAAAGATTCTTTTTATGATCTCCCCAAACTGAATGCCCTTACCCAACACGTCCTGTCCCCTTTTCTGGTTTTCTTTTTCTCCATAGCACTTACTACCGTGATATATTGCATATTTTATACCTATTTTTTATTGCCTTTCTCCATCCATCACCCACCCCTGCGAATGTGAACTCTATGAGGGCACAAACTTTGGGAAGTTTTATTCACTATTGTATTCCCAGCACCAAGAACTGTGCCTGTTTAGTCCTGGAACATAGTAGGTGCTCACTGAATATGTGTGGATCAGTCCAAACCTGAAGGAAGGATGTTGTGAGCTGAGGATACGTTCCATCTTTTTCTTCCTTTAAGGAAATACAATATTTTTACTTTTCAAGAAATTCTACCTTAGGCAAATTTTCTCACACATCCCCTGCAATTCTCTTTATTATTCTAACTCTGGCCCAAATGACTCAAGAAAAAATATAAAATATATAAAAATACATAATATGTAAAATATTTTTTAAACACTTTAAAAATATTTTTTAAATGTATGACCCTAGTAGTTTAGCCACCTTGTTGGCTTTCTCCGTGATACTTTTCTGGCTTACTTTTAGTTCAAAGTTTCTTCCCTAAATTCTTATAACCGTGTTTGACTTACTGATTTGCAGTTCTCATAAGTTTCTTAATATTATTATTGATGTACACTTTATCACTCCACTACAGTGATTCTCAGAGGTTTGTTTTCCCAGGGGTTGGACCAGAATCACCATGGAGCTGTTTCAAACCCTGGCATTTAGCAATGTCTGGAGACATTTTTGGTTGTCACAACTGTGGGGGTCTGGGGAGAGGTTATGTGGCACACTAGCATCTAGTGGGTAGAGGCCAAAGAACAGCCTCCTACAACAAAAAATTATAGGTCCAAAATATTAATAGTGCTGAGGTTGAGACACCCTGCTTTAACCCTCTCAGCACTTTAGGAAGGCAGAGCCTCATAGTTGACAGTTGCAGCCATGGTGGGGTAGAACTCCTCAAGGGTGTTTGGGTTTTTAAAAAAGGAATTAGAATCTCTGTTGTACTATACTGTGATTTTGGAGGAATTTAACTGTGTGTTATCCATCTTTGTACTTCCCCCACACACAATGATACACTCAAATTCTGTGGCCTAATACTGAACTTGAATATTTGTTATATGATTACATGAAAAAAATGTTCCTCCTGACTCTAACAGTGAAAGCAACTAATGTTTTCTTAAGATAAATTATTCTAATGACAAGCTCATGATAGTAGAGATGTCCGCCAAAATATCTACTAAAGTTCCCGTTTTAGTCTTCTAGGGCTTCCATAACAAAATACTACAAACTGGGTGGTTTAAATAACAGAATTTTTTTTTTCCAGTTTTGGAAGCTGGGAAATTCAAGATCAAGGGGCTGTAGGGGTTGATTTCTGGTGACACCTCTCTTCCTGGCTTGTGGACAGCCACCTTCTTGCTATGTCGGTGCACATGCAGACGGAGAGATATCTCTGATGTCATCTCTTCCTCTTCTTATTAGGGTCCCAGTCCTATTGGATTAAGACCCCATCCTCAGGACCTCATTTAACCTTAACTACCCCCTTAAAGGCCCTGTCTCCAGCTACAGTCACAAAGGAAGTTAGGGCTTCAACATATGAATTTGGAGGGGGGACATAATTCAGTGCATAACAGTTCCCTTAAATGATTTTGGAGTGATTATCTTTGAAGTTTTAGAAATATTTTATATTGTATTTTATCGTACAACCTCTGTAAGTTGTGAAATCCCATAAAGCTATCACCCATTATAATAATGTACTCCATGCTTTTTAATATTTGTGTTTTATTTGGCTATAATTCCCCACAGCCATTGCCTTCCAAGACTGAAGACTACAAGTCTCTGGCCCTCCGATCAAGTGCCATTTTCCACTTGGTCATTTTAGCTGTTGAACTGTGACTTCTTTTTGAAAGATCTCTAATAGTATCACACTAGGGTATTCCTGGTTTTGTACCAGGATAGGGCTGCATCTTCTGGGTTTTTTGTTTTGTTTGTTCCTAATGACCTCCCTGTGATGGCCTGTGTTTTATGGCACTTGGCTGCCTGGAGTAGTTCTTCAGTAATAACTGCATTCCTTCTCTGACTTTAAATTGTTATGCAGAACAGATTTTCTCTGGAGGATCACACACAACCATAGAACTGCGTGTGTGTCCTGGTGTAGTAGACTGAAGAATGCACACCACCCCCTACCAAAGATAGTCACATCCTAATCCCTAGCACTTGTGAATATTTCACCTTACATGATCACAGGGACTTTGCAGATCTGATTAAATTAAGGATCTTGAGTTGGGGAGATTATCCTGGATTATCTGGGTGGACCAGGGTATTCACAAAGGTCCTTATGAGAGGGAGGCAAGAAGATCAGAACCAGTGGTAGGAGATGTGATGATGGAAGCAAGAGGATGAAGTGATTTGAGGAAGGGACCAGGAGCCACACAATGGAAGGTGGCCTCTAAAAGCTGAAAAAGAGGTAAGGAAGTGTGTTCTCTCCTGAAGCCTCCAAAAAGAAGTCAGTCCTACCAACATCTTAATTTTACTCTTGACTCCAGAAGTATAAAAAAATAAATTTGTGTTCTTTCAGCCACAAAGTTTGTGGTTTGTTATAGTAGCAACAGGAAACTAATACACCAGAGAAGACTTAAATAGGCCTAAGATTTTGTCTTTACAAAACTCTTTGAAACTCTTTGCAAAAGGAAGTAAAGGCAAGGTAGAGGTATAAACTGCTTGCCCAGAGGTTGAAGGCATCCCTGGCATTCACAGAGATCCCCTCAGCAAAGGCTGGGAGACTTATTGGTTCAGACATCTAAGAAAATCTCTGAACAACCAATCATTAGCTGACAACTAAGCTAACCAAGCAGAGAGTTCAGTGCCATGCAAACAAAGCAAAGACTTGCCTGAATTTATTCAGGAAAGTAACTAAACAAATAGCAACAACAGCAAACCTTTGGGGGAGAGAATTTCATTTTCAGAGTTGCCACATTATGTTATTTAACAAGTCTAATTTTTAACAACAACAAAAATATGAGATACACAAAGAAACAAGAAAGTATGGTCCACACACAAGAGAATTTTTTTAAAAAAGGCAGTAAATTAGACTTCCTTAAGGAAGACTACATGTTGGACATAATAGACAAAGACTTTAAATCAGCTATTTTAAATTTGTTCAAAAACTAAAGGAAACCATTTCTAAAGAACTAAAAGTGTGAGAGTGATGTCTTACCAAATAGAAAATATCTTAAGGAGATAAAAATTGTGACAAAGGAGTTAAATAGAAATCTGGGCTCAAAAAGTATAGTAACCCACAGGAAAAATTCACTAGAGGGACTTAACACTAGATTTAAGCTGACAGAAGAATCAGTAAACTTGAAAATAGGTCAATTCAGATTATCCAGACTGAGGAACAGAAAGAAAAAAAAAGAATGAAGTGAACAGCTGGCTGGAGTGGCTCAGGTGGTTGAGCATCATTGTGTGCACCAAAAGCTTGCAGGTTCGATTCCTGGTCAGCACATACCTGGGTTGTGGGTTTGATCCTAGGTTGTGCACAGAAGGCAACTGATTGATGTTTCTCTTACATTGATGGCTTTTTCTCTCTCCCCTTACCCCCTTCCTCTCTCTAAGCATGTTCTCAGGCGATGTGCGTTGAAAAGTTGCTGGTTTGATTCCCAGTCAGGGCGCATGCCCGGGTTATAGGCTCTATTCCCAGTAGGGGGCATGCAGCAGGCAGCCAATTGATGTTCTGTTCTCACATGATGTTTCTCTCTCCCTCTCCCTCTTCCTTCCTCTCTCTCTAAAAATCAATAAAAAATCTTAAAGAAAAAAAAAGAAGAATGATGTGAGGCACCATCAAGCATCATATATAATGAGAGTCCCAGAAGGAGAGGAAAAAGGGGGAAGGGGAAGAATATTTGAAGAAATAATGGCTGAAATCTTTCCAAACTTGATTAAAAATATTAATCTGTATGTTATTGGAACTCAGCAAACTCCAAATAGAATAAACTCAAAAAGATCTATCCCTGGACACATTATAATCAAACTAGAAAGACAAAAACAAAAAGAAAATCTTGAAAGCAACTCAACACACACAAGAGATCCTCAATAAGATTAATGGCTGATTTCTCATCAGAAACCTTGGGCTCCAGAAGGCAGCGGGATGACAGTCAAAATGCTGAAAGACAAGAACTGTCAACCAAGAATTCTATGTCCAGCAAAATTTTTCTCTAAAAATAAAGGATTCTACATCAAACTAAAAGTCTTCTACGTAGCAAAGGAAACCATCAACAAAATGAAAAGACAATCTACTGAGTGGGAGAAAATATTTGCAAATCGTATATTTTATAAGGGTTTTATATCCAAAGTATATAAAGAACTCATACAACTCTAGCAGAAAAACAATACAATTAAAAATGAACAGAGAGAACAAATTGATGTCTTTCCAAAGAAAACATACAAATGGCTAACAGGTACATGAAAAGGTACTCAACGTCACTAATTATCAGGGAAATGCAAATCAGAACTACAATGAGATAATACCTCGCACTTGTTAGAATGGCGGTTATCAAAGAGACAAGAAGTAACAAGTATTGACAAGGATGTGGAGAAAAATGAGCCCTGTGCACTGTTGGTGGGAATATAAATCAGTACTATGGAAAATAGTGCAGAGGTTCCTCAAAAAATAAAAAATAGAACTACTTTCTGATCCAGTAATTTCACTTCTAGGTATTTGTCCAAAGGAAATGAAAGCATTAACTTGAAAAGATATATGCACCCCATTTTCACTGTAACATTTACAATAGCCATGCATGTATGAAAACAATCTCCTGAGAAACTCCATTATTGACATTTAAATCTCTGAAAAAAATTCCACCTTCATCTCTTACCATTTTTATTATTGAGGATAAGCTTATTTTTATTTTTTATGCAGAATGATGGCTGTTTTGGTACTTCAGGTGGAATTCGTTCTTTTCAGCTTCAAAACTGGAAACAGAAAGTTAGTCGGCCTAAGAAAGCAGAATTCATACGCACAGCAGAAAAATTTAAAAATCTGTAAGTATAAGAACATTATTTTCAAATAATATTACTAGTCATTTTATTATGAACAATGTAGACAGTTAATTCTACTCCACCCTGTCCAATCCCACATTACGTTACAAAATTCTGGTCACTAGCTTTTCAAAAAGGTGGGAAGTGTGAAATAGACAAATGATAATAGACTAATATAAAGTTAATTTTAAATAGAGTTATTTAAATTTTATTTATTTTTACCATTTTGATCCAGTGTATTTTAAGGGAAACAAAACAATTATTTTCTTTAGATCTCATATATCAAATAACAAGATTGAATACATTTTCACTTAGCAAGGTAAACACTTGGTAAATTTTTTGAGTGAATAATTTTACTGAAAAGTCTGTACCCTCAAGTTATTTTTTTGAAATGCCCTTTTATTTGGCCTCCCTCCCATGGTCTCTGCTCCTTTCAGATCCATCCTGCACATTATGATTAGGCTAATTGAGAACTTTTAATTTGTAGTGTATATGTATTTTTTCTTTAGATAATTAGTGATACGTATTGAATGTTCAGTGTTGCCAGCAGCACAGTGATATGATATGTATCATGAGGAGTGATAAAAGAATTAGAATTAAAACTGCTTTGAAGTTATGCAGAAAAGGAGACTTGTAAAAAATGGTCTCTGGACCAGAATTAGTGGCAGTTGTCTGCTTAGAAATTCTACCATTAAAAAATACTGTTTGAAATTTGGAAAGTTATACTATAGCTTTGGGAGATTGAATTCTCAATTGCATTCATATAATACTTATGTAGTACTTCTAGTACTCAGATTTTGAGAAAATACAGCTTTATTTCTTTGATTTCCAAAATGTATAACCATATGTAGAATTGGACTCTAGGTTAGGGTTTCTGGTTTATGTTTCTCTCTAGATAGGTAATCTACCAAGTGGTTAATGTCCATAAATATAGCAAACCAGTAGATTGTACCGGTATTGATAACTTGTCTACCAGTACGTATTGGTTTTACAGCTCTCATTCAGCTGTTTTCATGTCACAAAGTTTTGAAAAACTCATTGGAAGAATATTAAAAAAATCCATGGGAAGAATATTTCTATCCAGCGATTCCCGTTGCATACAAAGAAAAAAACACAATTTGTAATATAATTCAGTTTTATTTTCAGTATAGTAATATATTCACATGGTTTAAAAATCCATACATGTCAAAGGGTACACAGTGTAAGGTCTGTTTCACCCATGACCTCAGACACCCACTTCCCCTCCCCTTACACAACCACTATTTTTAGTTTCTTGTGTATCGTACCACAGACATTTTCTAATATGTGCTTATAAGGAAATAAAAATACATATTCATATTTTGTCTTTTTTATATAAATGGTAACATCTGTTCTGGATCTTGCTTTTTTTTTTCTTTTTAACTTAAGAATATATCTTAGATACCAAGGAATTGTTGACCTTGTCAGGCATGATAATGGCATGACAGTGATGTAAGTCAAATATCTATAATCTCCAGAGATGCACACTGAAGTATGTTGGGGTGAAGTTACAGAATGTAGTGGGTTTAATTTAATATTTAATCAAATAGTAAAAAGAAAAGAAAGATAGATGAGCCCCAAGAGAGGAAAAAGAGATAAAATTGTTGACTCAGAGTGATAGGAGTATTATATCATTTGAGGATATACAAGGGGAGTCAGTTTACTATTTTCTACTTTTGGGTATGACTAACATTTTCATATGAACTCTGTTATAAAAAGTGTGTGTCTTGGAGATCTGTTCCTTATCAGTATATGGAACACAGTACCACTTCATTGTATTCCAGTGTATGATTGTGACATAATTTATTTAACCTGTTCCTTAGTGATGGACATTTAGGTTATATTCAGTCTTCTATAATAACCAACAATGCTGCAATTAAGTGCAGTATTCACATAGGTCCACATCATTTTGCATATGTGTGAGTGTATCTTTAAGATTTCTTGGAAGTAGAAATTCTGGAAGTAGAAATATTCCTGGAAGTAGAAATTCTGGGTCAAAGTCATACAAATATGCACTGGTATATGCCAAATTGTCCTCCATTTACGATTTACGATTTCACCAACAATGTATGAGAGGACCTATTTTCCCACAGTTTTATCATTAGATTGTATTATTTAAACTTGTGATTTTTTTGCCAGTACTGTGTTACCATGGTATAGTTTTAATTTTCTTCTGTTGTGAATGAGGTTGAGCATTTTTTCATGTATTTGGCAATTTGTCTACATTATTATCTTTTGAATGTCTTTATAGGTTAATATTTGTAATCCAGGAATGGCAAAACATAATTTACTTACCGTCATTGCATTTCCTTTGTCAATGCTAGGAATTTCTATTTGATTATAGTAATTTCCCCTACCCCCACCCAGAGCCTACATGGGCTTCTGAGTCCTCAGCACAGGACTCCAGTAGCCACCCTCAATCTATTAGAGTTGACCTGCGGGCTGAAATCTAATTGACATCTGTTCTACCCATTGCTTTCTCTCTGAAACACAAGTGCTAAGTTATGATCCCCTCAGTCTTTGGGGCAGCCAGGTAGGGCCTGGAGCAGTCTCATCTGTTTGTCCCAGTATGCCTTAAAATATCAAATTTTTCCCTATATGTGCCAAAGTGATAAGGATTGGCAACTCTGCCTTAGATAGTTGCTCCTCAAGTTGAATGAAATTAAGTCAATGACCAGAGATACTCCACTACTCCTTAAATCCAGGATTAGTGGAGAAGTATTCATATTAATTTGTACCTTCTGGGAGAAAGAGAACAGGTGTTGAAAAAATAGATTTCTTTTGTCCAACCAAAAAAGTTTCTTGATAGTACAGTGTTCGTTTTGTTTTACCCCAGGATTCAAACTAACATAGACCTTTTTACTGGTAGACGGACTAAATCTAAGAAGCTTTGAAGTAAATATAGACAGTATCTCTTAAATATACTAAAATTTCTGTCTTTATAGATTGTTTGCCTCTTAAAGTTTTAGTTGTATTAATAATATTAGTACCTTGCATTTCCATAGTACATTTTTACTGTATAAAGATCCTTTGTATATATTATCTCATATAATGTTAATCACAGCCCTGTTGGGTAGTGGAGAGCTGTTGTTATTCCCATTTTAGTGATGAGGAGATTCATACCAGGAAAGGGTAAATGACTCGGTGTAGGTTACAAAGTTAACAGTATCTTCTATTTAAAGCAGCCACCACCAGTGGCAGCCACTTTCAGGCCATAGTGAGACTGAGTTGGAATCAATAGTTAAAGGCTTATGTATTTTCAAAGCAAGTCTGTGAATGTATTTTCTTAAATTAACATTTTATAATTTAAATATTCAAATTATTTGTGATTTTAGTTGAACTTAACTCTTTCTAACTACTATTTTGACTTCTTAGCCTTATTATTCAAGTGATTATATTTTGACTCCTTAGATAAATGAATCCAAATATAAAGTTCTGATTACTGTGTCTTCATATTTTAAACAATTAAAATATATTTAAGTCATATTTATACCATTTGTTTCTTTTCCTAAAGAGTTATTAACATAGAAAAAGATAAACACAGTCATTTCTACAACCAAAAAGGTGACTTCAGAATTGAGCATAGTATGCTGGAAGAATTGGAAAATAAATTGATTAACAGCAGGAAAACAGAAAGTAAGTTGAGTTCATGATGAACAAAAACTGTTCAGATAAAGTTGTAGTTTTGCCCTGTGCTTTGTATTTGTGCATTGACTGTTATATTTTCTATCAAGATACTTTCTAGTTAGTAATGTTTGTCTTTTTTAAAAAATACTTTTTAAAGATTTTTTATTTATTTTTTCGAGAGAAGGAAGGGAGAGAGAGAGAAACATCGATGTGAGAGAGAAACATCAATCTGCTGCCTCCTGCACACTCCCTACTGGGGATCGAGCCTGCAACCCAGGCGTGTGCCCTGACGGGGTATCAAACCAGCAACCTTTCAGTGCACAGGACTCTGCCCAGCCAACTGAGCCACACTCGCCAGGGCATGAGTTTGTCTTTTAGGGATATGTGTTTATTTTGACAGGTTACTATTTAGTGATTCTAGCTGGATTGTTTTCTGTGTGTATTTCTTCCAATTTAATAGGAAAAAGAGGGTTTTGTTTTTTGGTTAACAAACTAGTTAATGTTATTAAAGTTTCTTAAACAGATATTAATTTCTGGGCTACCTGGTCTTAGCTCCTCACTCTGGTATTGTTGACTGAGATCTGGGCTAAGAATACAGCGACAGAGTTAGAACCCATACTTCAATAATAGTATGAAGTGATCAGATCACATAATCCCGAATACTCGAGTTTTCTTGTCTGTGATATAACGTCTACCATTTCTACCTCGGAGCTGTCCTATGTATCCCATGAGATAATATATGAGAAAGTGCCTTATAGATTGTACAGAAATGTTTTATTGTTTGCTATGAATATCAATCGTTGATAGTATACTAACTGTTGGCCTTAAAAAATAATTCTACAAGAATACCTTCTTTCATTGTAGCTTTTATATGTTGAAAAATTCTTAGGTCATAATAAAAAACTGCTTAGCATTGTTTAAAGGAAAAATAATGGTTATCAACTAACTAAGCTTTATAAAATATTGACTTATATAGAGATTGTACTGCTTATGGTTAATCCCCATTAAAAGACGTTCTCAGTAAGTTTTTTCTTTCAGACTATAAGATTGGATTATTTTAAAAAGTCATCTTTTGTCAGGTAGTGGCAAGAATCAGTCTCCCTCTTCTGTTTGAATGACAACAGAACCTAATATAAAACCCAAATTTTCAGTTCTCCTCTTTGATTCATAGAGAAATCTAAACATCTCTATTTAATATTTCTTCAGTTCCTTCAGTTCTTTTGTAGACACCTGAGAGGTTGCTCTTTCTGTCTCTCAATCATGCCACTAAATAGTGTCTCCATTCTCTGTATTTTAAGTCACTTCATTTTCTCTTTTTAAGGCAACTTTATTTTTATCTTCCTATTTCTTTTTCTGCTACACTTTTGCCTCTCTTTATTCACACTTTCTGTTTATCTTATCTAGGAGGGGAAAGAGTGCACTTAGTATAAGGATATAGATGTTTTCCCTCCTCGTATTACAGCCCAGAAGTAGTAAATACTGTTTCCTTAACTCGAGTATAGTCTGCATTTATGTAACATTGTACTTAAATGGCTTGGCCATATAGAGTGGCAGTTGCAAATGAATAAATAAAAGATCACTTGCCCTATAGTAGTGTCACTGTAGCTGATCAAACTGTGGCAAAAACAAAACCACAAAAACACTGTCCTAACTACTTAACTTTACTAGGGAAGTTTCTTGACTTAAAGTTCCAACAGTGAATAAGACCTTATAAAAATATATGGGATAAAGTTTCTGCTTTTCTGGGAACACTTGAATTTTAATTTTAAAAAAACCAAAGTCATATACACATAGGTTTGTTTTGGATATTAGTATTGGCTCCAGGCCTATAGGTAAACTTTTTTTTTTTTTTTTAAATTGTTTTTAAGGACTTTTGAACTGAGCTTTTGGTGCTTTGTGCTCATTTGTGAAAACATTAAAAAAACATGGAGGGGCATAAATAAAGTACCCACAAGTGACAAAATAACATTATTATTATATATATATATATATATATTATATAAATATAGATGTATGGATGTAAATATGTCATTTTGGCCTAATAACTTAAATAAGTACTAAAATAAGATTATTACTTCAGAAAGAAAATATGAAAGAGGAATTCAGTCTTTCTGCCCCTGATACAGAACATCTGAAAATGTCTTTGAGACCCTCCTCTGTTTTTCAGGCTTTATTGTGGGCCCAACATTTTCAGGGTGGTCCTTTGGATGAGCTTGGCAACTTATAGTGTAGATAGGTACCACTGAATGGCACCTGAGGCACTTCGTCAAGGCTGTGACAGTGACACTAATGGGTATCACTAGTTGCCCACTCAGAAGGTGTGGTTAGATAAAATTAATTCTCATTAGGAAGTTTGTCAGTATTCATAGAATTAATATTCTTTAGACAGTTTTAATATTCCAAAAATAGAATTGGGATCTATTTCAAATTATGTTTCCATAAATTATAACAAATTAAAAAGAAAGAATCTGTGGAAAAACAAAACATGACTAAGCCTCAGCTACTGATCCATGTATTTAAAACAACATCCAATAACTCAGTCTCCACAGAGGAAAAAAAGGACATTTCCTTGGCACAGGTTATAGTAAGATTTAACCCACTGTGATTTTAAATACTGGAGGAAATTGAGAAATGCTTTATTTAGAGAAAGGGTACTTATTAAAATGTTCAGGCTGTTTTCACACTTAAGTAACCATCTTTTCATTATTTAGTTGCTCTTGGTTATGTTTCACTAAGTGAAGATGATCTGTCTCAGGTGTAGAATCCTAAATTGTTACCATATTTGTCATAGGATTATTTTAAAGTACATACTTCTTCCTTATAGGAGCAAAAATCCAGCAACAATTGGCCAAAATACACAACAACGTAAAGAAACTTCAGCATCAGTTAAAAGATGTGAAGCCTACACCTGATTGTAAGTACCTTTAGATTTTATATTCTTTCTTATATATTAGTATTTTCTATTGCTCATTAGAAAAATTTATACTTTTCTAATAAGAATTTTCCTATTTGGCATTAATGGAACTAAGCCCTACTTTACTGGTTAGGGACTGATATGGACACATCGGAGAACTGTCTATCTAATTTTATGTAGTTTTTTAGCTTTGAAATGCTATAAATCCACCCCTGGCTGGGTGGCTCAGTTAGTTGGAGCATCGTCCATACACCAAAAGGTTGCAGGTTCGATTTCCAGTCAGGGCACATACCTGGGTTGTGGGTTCAATCCCCAGTTGGGAGGTAACTGATCTATGTTTCTCTTTCACATCAGTATTTCTCTCTCTCTCTCTCTCTCTCTCACAAAATCAGTAGAAACATATCCTCAGGTGAGGATTTTTTTTCCCGAATGCTATAAATCATTACAAATTACGAAGTGGGCAGCACAGGTATTAGGGTCATTTATAGGCTAGTGGATCTGTGGCATGGAAAGATTCAGATTCAGCCAATGAAGAGGGAAAAAGACTGATTTCTTGATTTAGCCTAGTGCTTTTCCCATTATTTGCTTCTTGAAATAATTACCTTTTAGAGGCATTTTGAATATGTAAAGAAATGGTTAAATACTACTGGGGTAAATACTAGTCATTTGTAAAAAACAAAATTGTTTCCTTACCTCTCTACTTACATCAGCATTCATTCCTGAAGGATCGAAGCGATAAAGGGCTCAAGATGAATGGACTTAAGAATTAGACAGATGTTGAGTCAAATTCTTGATCTATCAGTTACGTGATTTTAGGCAAGTTACTTGGTTTTTCTGAACTTTCATTTCCTCAGCTCTAAAATGGAAATAACCAGAGAACCTAACTCATAGGGTTGTTGGGGTTGTTGAGGGGATGAACTGAGACAGTGCACATAAAGCACTTGTGCAGTGCTTATAACATAGGAAGCAGTAAAAATTGGCAGATATGAATATTATAGTTTGTTAAGTTAATATATAAAACCATAAAAATACTAGAGGAGAACATAGGTTAATATTTGTATCATTGTATTATAGTTTATAAGAATGACAAAGGTCAGAAACCATAAAGAAAATAGTGGGCAAAATTGACTACTTAAAAAAAAACAACACAAATGCATAAGGAAAGTTGAAAGACAAGTTAGAAAAATATTAGCAATATATGTGACTTAAAAAACATATACATCATATATAGAGTTTCTACAAGTTAGAGCAACAAAGGTAAATAACCTAATAGAAAATGGACAAAAATTATAAGGTCCATTTTATAGTGAAACAAATACAAAACATATAAGAAAAAAGTGCTTAGGCTTCTTAACGATCACAAAAAATGTCCATTAAGTCAGTGGTGATAAGTGTTTGCCTTTCATTTTGGAAATGATTAAAAGTACCTGGGAAGAAGCACTGTCAGGAACTGTAAGTTGGCAGAGCTTCTTTGAAGGACAATGTGATGGTATCTAGCATACTGGAAAATAAGTATCCTTTTCATTTAGCATTTCAAGTTTTATCAATTATCCTCTAAAAATACTTATTTGAGCATGCAAAAAAATACATGCAAAGATATTACAGTGTTGATTAGTTGGAGAATTACTTAAAGGTTGATCAGTTGGAGAATTACTTAATGATTTGAGGTAGATTGAGATAATAAAATAAGATGTCAGTTAACTACAATATTTTGTTAAATAAAAACTGCAAGTTACAAAACAGTATGTGTAGTATGAAACATTTTTTGTAAGCAATAATATTTAATGACATGTACACATAGGAAAAAATTTGTAATAAAATTATAATCATGAAAATTAGCTTTTTATAAGCACATTTTCCTTATCCTTTTGGCTAAGAAATGTTTTTAAATTAAGGGAACAGTCAATTTTTTACATAATATTTAATTCTTAGTCATACTGAAATGATGTAACATAATTTTTTTTTTTTTTACAGTTGTCGAAAAGCTCAGAGAAATGATGGAAGAAATCGAAAATGCAATTAACACTTTTAAGGAAGAGCAGAGATTGATGTATGTTTTAAACACACTTTAATATGAAATTATTGATTTATATATATTTCCAATAACTCTTCAATAGGTTGTTATATATAAACCACTTTATTGTTACATAACCTTTTTTCTTTTGTGTTAGGTTTTAGGTTTTAGACTGCTTTTCATGTTTAAAGTGAATATTCATTTGTTTCTGGACACTATAAAATCTCAGATAAGAATTTGAAAGATTGTTTTATTCTCTGAGGAAGCTCTTTCAAGACTTAGATTTATAAATGTTAATAATGTTAGTGGAGAAGATGACATGAAAAGAGCAATAATTTAAATAATAAAATAATAAAGGATTAGTATGGATTGGTTTGTATCTTGTTATTCAAACTTTATTTTTGAAATTTTAGATATGAAGAACTTATTAAAGAAGAGAAAACAACTAATAATGAGTTGAGCGCCATATCAAGAAAAATTGACACATGGGCTTTGGGTAGTTCAGAAACGGAGAAGGCTTTCAGAACAGTGCCAAGCAAAGCTCCTATAGACAAAAGAACACCAAGAACTCTTCCAGAAGAAGTGGTAGATTTTGAAAAATTCCTCCAGCAAACAGGAGGGCGCCAAGGGGGCTGGGATGATTATGATCACCAAAACTTTGTGAAGGTGAGGAACAAACATAAAGGGAAGCCAACTTTTATGGGAGAAGTTCTAGAACACCTTCCTGGAAGAACACAGGATGAAGTTGAACAGCATGAAAAATGGTATCAAAAACTTCTGGCCCTAGAAGAAAGGAAAAAAGAGGTAATAATAATTATGATAGCCATTATTTGTTGTATATTTCTGTGTTCCAGACACTTTGCTAAATTCTGTAACATTTATTAACTTTACAGCAACTCCACAAGGTATATTGCAGTTTTCCCCCATCTTATAGAAGGTGAAACAGGCATTGAGAGGTTAAGTAACTTAACTAAAGGAACTACAGTTGGACGTTCTCAAGGCCAAACATTTCTACCCCAAGAAATAATACAGTGGGCCAGAAAAATTCTGATTGTGGGCAAAACCCTCTGTGTCCACCAGAAATGTGGGAGATCCAGCATCTTACCAGCAAAGGCCACATGGTTTTCAATTAAAAATAAAAAGGCAGTAGAAAAAATTCTTTGACTCTTCAGAGTTTCATTGAAGTTTGGAACTTCAGCCCCATTGCTTATTTGAAAAGACTCAAAATTTTGACTACCCCAGAGGAAAGAGTAACTCGTAAATGTAGTAAATATTTTAAAAGTTCCATTTTCACAAAAATACTAATCTGGCTTTGGTTTAGTTAGGTAATTCTTTGCTGTAACTACTGTCATGTGCCTTGTAGGGTGATTCGCAACATTCTTGGCTTCTACCCACTAGATGCTAGTTATAAAAAAATGTCTCCAGACTGCCAGATGTCCCCTAGAAGGCAAAAATTGCCTCTAGTCGAGATCTATGGGTTTAGATACTCTAAGTTTGAGTCACATTTTTTGTAGACTTCAGCTATTATAAACTTCAACTCACTTGATGTAACAACAAAAGTATGACTATTTAACAGATGACATAACTAAAGAGCATTAAAGAAATGATCCCATGTTCAGTCTAAATTTTTAGAGGAAATAGCTGCAGTTTATTGCTTTTTCTCTCCTAAGTAAGTTAAATATAGGAAGATTGAAATTTGGGACTTTAAGAAAATTTTTGAAACATAAGTCCTTTTTGAAAATTCAAAATAACAAGCTATTAGGAATTATTTGGTTTTTTTCCCTGGATAATGAAAACATGGGGTCCCTGGACCAGCAAAGTCAGCATCACCTGGGAACTTGGTAGAACTTACCAGGCCCCAACCGAATACCTAATCCAAGCTCTGGGGATGGGGCCCAGGAATCTATGCTTTAACAAGTCCCCTAGGTTATTCTATTATAAGCTAACGTGTAAGAACCACCTCTCTAGGGGAAAAGAACAGACGTAGTGCCTCATGTAATAAAGGTAAAGCACCTTGATTCTAGCTTACTCTTCTTGTTCCCAACCACTGTTTCTTGATATTTGATGATTCATTGAATGCAGGGGTAAGGTAGGAGGGGCTATGAAAATGGAGGTTCCATATACTGAAGTAGGATGTAGGGGAGAAGGAAATTTAGGGGAAAGCATCAAACTGTAGTTTTAAATCTAGTCAGTTTAAGATGCTGAGTAGGAGATTTACTATTTCTATCTCCATTTGCCTAAATATACTTATTTTCAGTCATGCCCTGAACTTTCTGGCCTGAGTACCCTAGCTTATCTTATTCTCACTTTCTGGAACCTCCATTCTTTCATTCCCCCTCAACTCCCAGCTATCAAAATCTGCCCTGATAAGATGCTGCTTCCTTCTTGCCCACTCAAACATAAGTAGTCCCTCTCAGAATTTCCTACTAATACTTTGTTTATACTTCTTTTATGGTGTGCTATAGCACATCATAATATATTCTAGATATATACACTAGAATATATTCTAGTATTTATGCATATATCTTACCTAGAACAGTGCTACTTGAACTTGGTCCATGGACTGGATGTAGTGATTGAACTAGAATCACTAGAAAAAATTCCACTGGTTAAAAAACAAACACAAACAAAACCACTTGGAAACCTAAGTAGCCAGCATCCTGCAGTCAATATTCCTTCTAGAAAGAGGAACTTGAGGTTGTATTTTAAAGTGCTTTTGGTTATTAAGATGATTTTTCTCTTGCTATGTTTTCTTAGTCTATTCAGAATTGGAAAACTAAAAAGCAGCAAAAAAAAGAGGAAATGTTCAAGTTAAAGGAAAGGGCAGAGAATATACCTCTGCTTTTTCATAGTAAACAAGAAGATAATCAACAGCAAAAAGAAGAACAAAGGAAGAAGCAGAAATTGGCAGTGGAAGTTTGGAAAAAACAAAAAAGTATAGAAATGTCAATGAAATATGCTTCCCGGTTAAAAGAAGAGGAAGAGAAAGAGAAAAGGCAGCAGAAAGAGCGCCAACGCCAGTTTAAACTAAAATTACTACTAGAAAACTACACCCAGCAGAAGAAAGAACAGGAAGAATTTTTAAGACTTGAAAAGGAGATAAGGGAAAAGATAGAAAAGGCAGAAAAAAGGAAAACTGCTGCTGATGAAATTTCCAGATTTCAAGAAAGAGTGAGTAAATATGTTTCCTAAATAATTTTCAGTGCTTCACATAGAGGTATTACGTCTAGATTCAGTTCAGGAAAAAGTGAGTGCTTTTGATATATTAGGCTTGTGCCTACCAAATGAGTAAGCCACGCTCCCTCATTTCTAGTAGATTATAGTCTAGTGGGGGAAGATAGATGTGCAAGTAGGTTTCTGTATAATGTGGTAAATAGTGTGGTGATTAAGGTGTGGACATAGAATTTTAGGAGGCGGATATGCAGGGAGGGAAGCTTACCATAGCTATTAGTATCAGAGAGAAGTGATACTTGAGTTGAGTCTTGAAGGAGAAGAAAGGGGAGATCTTCCCTAGCAGAGGGAATAGCAATGAATGACAGCCTGGAGGAGTGTAACAGTGGTTTGTGGGGAACCCATAAATGCTTCAGTATGCTAAGGGCATCTAGTGGAAGGCGGGAACCAGCAGGAGACAAGGCTGGAAAGGTAGCCACAGGCCAGGCTCCCTTTTCTTTGCCAAACTGACTGGTTTTTTCCCCATAGGTGATTTCCTTACTTGTTCACTGTCCATCTCCCACCATAGTAGAAGCTCCACGAGGGCAGAGGTTTTATCCTTTTGTTCATTCCTGTCCCCTGTACATTGTAGATACCCAATGCATACTTAAAGGAATCAAGGTTATTGCTGAGAGGTAGGATTATAAGTGATATTAAACAAATATATACAAGAAAAATGCTAATCAAAGAGATTATAATCTTATCAGACAAAGTGGAATTCAGTCCAAAGAGTTTAAAAAGACAAGGAAGTGTACTTTAAAATGAAAAATTCTTGATTGATGTTTCTATCTCTCTCTCCCTCTCCCTTCCTCTCTCTGAAATCAATAAAAACATATTAAAAAAAAAATAAAATGAAAAATTCTTAACTGTTATGAATATAACTGTTATGAAATGTTATATGCATCAAAATACATAATAATATTCATAAAGCAAAAAACAAGGGAAGTACAAAAAATAGACAGAAGCACATTATTAGTGGAATTTCTTTTAGACTCTATAAAGAAATCTCCCTAAAACAAAATTCCCCAAGTATGAGAGACCTAAAATCAGGCATACGTGTATTGATAAGCAAAAGTGGGCTTAACTTATCTATTAAAAGAAAAGGAGTTTTAGATTGAACCATAAAATAAGAGATACCAAAAAGAAAGTGATTCCGAAAGGATGTGCATGTATTGCATTTATATTCAAAAGGAAATAAACCTTTACTCTTGTTGGAAAAGGTCAGTATTGAGGGAATATTGATATTTAAGGTGATTTAATTTTACTTCCAACCAACTAAACAAATTCTAGTTAATTTTACTTTCTTAACGTCCCATTTTTTCATTATCTGTTTTTTAGGATTTACGTAAACTTGAATTGAAAATTCTTGATAGACAGTCAAAGGAAGATGAAAAGGCAGAGAAACAAAGACGACTGGCAAAATTAAAAGAAAAGGTATTCTGTACTGAGATTAATTTATTTTTACTGTTATTATCCTAATTCCTTAAATTGTAAGGATACAAACATCCATTTTCTTTATATCCAGCTTGACTTCTATACCCTCATCTTTAAAATTTGTACTTATTTAGCATAGCTTAGTACAATTTAAACAACTATTGTTTGAATTCTACCAACTTGCATTATAAATGCCTAATTTTCTTTTGTTCTAAATTCTCTCTTTTCTTCATTGTTTTTATGTGAGCCTTTATTTTAGACCTATGGCAGCTATGAGCATTGCTTAATCTCGGTGATACTCAGAGCTTAATGATATAGGAGACTCTCATGGATAAAACAAAGAGCTTACTGGTGGTTATTTATCCTAAATTTATTGTCTGGCTATATCACTATCACACTTTGCTGCATTATATTTCCCTCCTAATAGAAATAGAATAAAATAATTGAACTAGAAAAAATAAACTAAAATAACAGTTTATTAATAGATTGAGGTCCAAATTTTAATTTAGCTGTATAAGCACAATGAGTTTACTGAAGAGGTTATTAACAGTTTTACTATCTAGTTAATATCAAGTATTTTTCTTAAAACTGCTCTCTTAGTTAAGATCCTAGTTACTAAGGATCTTACAGGTACAAACTTAATATTTCACATAAATTAACTGGCATTCATTTTACTTCTAATTACAGGTTGAAAACAGTGTTAGCAGAGATCCCTCTAGGCTTTACAAACCTACCAAAGGTTGGGAAGAACGGACCAAAAAGATAGGACCAACAGGCTCTGGGCCGCTTCTACATATCCCACATAGGTAAAAAGGAGTAAGAATGGGTGTTGACTTAATAATAATTTAATAACTGCATGTTTGTATTTTATGGAACTTTTGTATGTATATTATATTTTACAGTAAAATGTTGATAAAACAAATCTACATATATATATGAAAGTTTTTATATATATATATGTGTATATATTTTTTACATTTAATCTCTGCAACTCTCGAATTGGCCCACATCCACTTGGATGTGTACTTTTTGCCTTTTTCATGGTGGCGCCCACACCCTGACCTTTTCTTTTTCTCTACCTGAATAAAAGTTCTTTATAAAAAAAGTTAAAATAAAAACAATAGAAGTTAACATTTAATCAGTTAGAATTTCTATAAAAATTTCCCATGTATTTATAATTGCTCTTTTCTTCTTCTCCTTAGGGCTATTCCAACCTGGAGACAAGGAGTTTAGAAAAGAATATGAGATAATGAAATTGGCATTCAGTTGAAGGGAATGTTAGCATATTCAGCTTTAAAAGGACAGTGACTAAACCGCATGTTTTTTTAAAAATATCACTAGCCTAGACAGACTGATTATTGTGTTGTATGTGAATTGGCAGGTATTAGGTTCTAAGTGGTATTGTCATTAGTATTTCCTGTTTATACTAAGAGGATATTAAATGCATATGTTGGCCTATTATTGATGTAAAAGTTTTTTGAATAAGTTTATGTTACAGACGGTATTTCATTTAAATACTCAGAATTTTAAAGATATTTTGTTTTTGTCATGGCACAGCGAAATAAATTGAGACAATCACAGAGTGACATTTTTCAAACCAAAATTTTGTAACATTTATATTTTGGAGGTAAGTTAGCTTGAGTAACAAAAATGTAAAGTTTTTTTTGTTTTTTGTTTGAATTATGAAATAAGTTAATACTTTTTCTAAGTTTAACCAATTGGTAGTTTGTCAGTTACTAAATTTTTGTGTAATAAATATTTGGATTTGTTTGAAGCATGCTTTGTTTTATATAAAGAATATTTATATTAAAAATATGCCTTACACTTCACACCTCATATATACTCTATTATTTGTACAATTGTTAAAACTTTTGATTTTCTTCAGCTTTTCCAAATTTCCCTTCAGCCTTTCTGGACTTCACACATTTTTATAAAATCTTTGTGTCTTTCACATCTTCCTGGCTGATTCAGTTTTCTGCTTCTGTTTGCCTCAAAATATTTGTTCAAAAGAGTTAATTTTTAAATTTCCAAACTTTTGTACATGAAAACACAATGTAACAGTTCAACTCAACTTTTCATATAAAATCTTAGTTCCTAGCTTTAATTAGTTCTCATCTCATAGGAAAGTTACCATATACATAATAAACATAGGAAACTTACTTCTTATGACTTTTATCTTAGAGTATCTTTATTCGTAACTTAATACATTTAGGTCAGATTACTCAGAAATTTACTATGGGTGGTAGTCAAAACCTTTTATTTCACAGTTACTATTCAAAGTAGGTATAACTTCCAAAGGAAACTGAATTCTAATTATAGTTATTGGTGCAAAATAGAATTAACATAAAACACCCTTACTCAGGATTGCCCATTTTATTTGTAATACTCGTTTTCCGTGACTTTTTTAAATGATTAGAGAGAGTTTAGAAATAAAATCTAGAACACGACAAAGGAATTTAAAAAAAAAATTGAACAGCTAGAAGTTATAGAAAAGTAAAGATTTTTATGTACTGCTTACTAACATGTTGCTCTTTTTTTGCACACAAATGCAGCTTTCAATTTCCTGCATCTAAGGTAAGCATATTGGGCAATGTGATTCTCATGGGGGTTTTTTTGTTTATTTTTATTTTGTTTTTTAATAAAAGAAGGTATGTAAGTTTCTTTGAACAAACCAGTCCTTCTAACTGAATCTAAGATGAGTGAGGAATTTGTTATATGGACCCTTTGTATAGACTATGTAGAATAAACAACATTATTCAGTTGCAAGCTCATAGAAGAGATGTCAGATGTTTCTTAAACTGGTTTAAAAAGTATATTAATAAGAAATTTAGAAAAAACACTAAAAGAAAAATGTCATAAAGCACCTATAATTCTACCACCTAAGATAACTTCTTCTGAAAGTATACCTACATATATGTGTGTGTGTGTGTGTGTATATATTTTAATATATCTTTATTGATTTCAGAGAGAGGAAGGGAGAGGTGGAGAGAAAGAGAGAGAAACATCAATAATGAGAAAGTCATTGATTGGCTGCCCCCTGCACATTCCCTACTGGGGATCAAGCCCACAATCCGGGCATGTGCCCTGACTGGGAATCCAACCGCAGTCATCCTGGATCATAGGTCGATGCTCAACCACTGAGCCACGCCCAGCTGGGATACCTACATATATTTAAATAGCTACAGTCATTGAATAAATTTTAGTTACTATACTGTAAGCACTTTACATTATACATATTTTCCTATCTTTCTATGTAATTCAAATATCACTTAATGGCTAAATAAGATTCAATTATATGGATGCTCTATTTTCATACTTTGAAGACTTGAGCTATTACACTTCTTAGTTAATAATGTACAGTGGCATTTTATGTAGGGGTTAGATTTTGTCGTATAGATATCAATCAGAAACCTTGTATGATCAAAATCACCCATGAAAAGCCTTTTATTTACCTAGGAGTATATTATATTATTTCTCAATGAGCCCATCATAGAAGTGTTTCCTCCAGATTTGGATCAGATTGCTGGCTCTTGAGCTGAGAATCAGATGAAATATTTGGCGTCCCTTGAAGAGCCGGGCTGAATAGGATTGTCCTTCCAAGCACGTATAGAGTGTGCCTAGTTGATTCTAATAAGTTAAATGTATGTAATATGACTCCATTTCGAACATCTTCAGTCATTTGACCGTGTGTGTGATCTTAGTTGTAATAATGTAGAGAAAACTCCTCTAGATTGGGCATATCTGAAGGACAGGATTCTGGCCTCCATATTTGTACAGAAGCAGCAAGGACAGCGCTCTGCTTGCACCCCGGCATTTGAATCCTGTATTTGTTAAGGACATGCAGGAAAACTTGTGAATAAGTAGTATCTAAAATTATGCCAGGCACTTTGGATTGTTGAATAAGAATGAGATAACTCCAGCCCACATGATACATTTTTTAAGAAATAAATTTTCTAACAAAGCTATTAATTAAAATTATACCCAAACTACTATTAGCTCAATTGATTACAAAAAACAAAAACAAAAAAACCTAGTTCAGGCCAGATCTTGGGTGGATTTTCTTTCCCTCTCAAGATTTCCTTATGAAGTTTTAAAGGGAACATGGCTGAAGCAACTTAAATCCCTCTTTTTGAAGAAAAAAAAAAGCTAGAAGCATGTTATTTCATTTTTTAGTATATGGGTAGTTGGAGAACATGGGGAGCTTACTTGCTTTTGCAAATTGACAAAACTGATGCTGGAGTCAAAACATTGATTCAAGCAAAGAGTAAAATCTTAAGACTTGCAGAAGAAAAACGATGCACGTAGTCACACTTGCCAACATATGTATGTATGTTGCATTTAGATGTAATTTAAAGTGATTTCTGGCATTCTAGAGGACTGGGAACGACTTCTGTAGTGTCAGTAATTACTTAATAAACATTTGTCTGTCTCCACAGTTTGATTTGTAGATTTAATTTCCGTACCCATTCAGCTGCAAACTGTCACCTCCCATACAGTGGGTGTTGGGAAATTTATCCTGAGCCATTCCTGCTTCCGTATGTACCATCCTCATGTTCTTTAGGGCCCTGGTTTTCTCGAAGCGAACTTGAAACTCTTGACATTGTCCTTCCTCCCAAATATCGAAAGAGGATTAAAGTACTAGAGAGGTCTGTGGGCCGAACTTGACTAGGCTTGCGAGGTGTTTCCAAAGCTTTGGGGCTGAGAGTCCAGAAAGCTGGGTCGCGCTCTGCCCAGGAAGAAACCTGGGCGGTGAAGCGCCGTGTGAGGCTCGCCGCCGGCCGCGTTCACCGTGCCGCCGGCCGCGGGGCGGCTCGCCGCTCGCCAATTGCTTCCGGGTCACGGCGGACGTCTCTTCCGTAGCAGCATGGCGGCCGCCGAGGACGAGCGGCTGGTGGGGGACTGTGAAGGAGAGCGGCTGGATTTCCTGCGGGACCGGCACGTGCGGTTCTTCCAGCGCTGCCTCCAGGTTTTGCCGGAGCGCTATTCTTCGCTAGAGACCAGCAGGTAACTGGTGGCCATAGTCCACAGGGCCGGCTCGGGGTCTGGGCCCCAACAGGAAGGCTCCGCGGAGCCTGACGGCTAAACTCGGCGCCCGCAGGGGGCTGCGCCGCCGCCCACCTGGCGCCGCCCGGCGCCTCCCTGCTCCGCTGGGCCAGTGGTCGCTCTCTTTTGGACCGCGGCGAGAGTGTTTCGGGAAGCCGCAAGTCTAGGGCTTTTGAAATCTCCAGTTTCTGCCTTTTTTTCACTTCCCAGCCATTTCTCCTGTCAACTCTGAGCTTCCTTTTTACTCCGTCTTTCTCGCCCCCGGCCTCTTTAGTTTCGAATACAAAAGGAAAAAGGCAAAGCGTTTGTCATCGTATTTTAGAGAAACTTCCTCTCCTGTGTTTCCCTTTCCTAATTCATTGACTTCTTTTTTTAATTGCGGTAACATTGGTTAACGTTATGCAAATTTCAGGCGTACAACATAATTCGGTATCTGTGTATGCTATTGCCTGCCCATCACTAAAAGTGTTTCCTTTCGTTACCGTATATTGGACTCATTAAGTCTTAACGGAACGACTGTATTGTGTTTGATGTAGAGGAGCAGCAGAGATCCTCTACGGTTTAAATAGAAATTAACGCTACAGGAACTGTAAATCTAATGATAGATTGGCGAAGGAGGTGCAGTGTGCTTGAAGTAGCCTGGTAAAGTATATTTGCAGGAGCCTTGTAAGTTGGAGTTGGCTGAGGAGTGTGATCTGGCAGAGGCTAAGAAACTATGAATTAGTCATTCAGAGTAAAACTCTGGGGAAGAGAAGAACGAAAGGAAGAGGCGGTCTTTGCTCTGCATTGCTGTGTTTTGAAGTGAGGCTCCAAAGCTGCATGAGACTAGATGGGAAGAGAGAGCAGATTGTTTTTGCTCTGATATCTCTCCACATTTTCTGAACTCTTCAGTCTCTAGTGTATTTTGAACACTGCCTGACTGGGTCAGTTTTGGAAGTTTTATAGATTACTTCTGCATACTCGTTCAAGAAATATTTATGTTAGGTGCTGGAGTACAGCTGACCAAGACAAGCAAGCAGTTTCTATAGAGTTCCATGCTATGTTAGTGTGAGGTTTATGGGAGCGTGTAGGAAGGGCAGGTACCTAATCCAGATTTCTTTAGAAAGGCCTTCCCTAGTCACCTTTTTCAAAAGACACCACTTCCAGCCACCACCCGAAATTATATATTTATTGGCTCATTTGTTTAATTTTTTTTTTCATGTTGGATTGTAAACTTCATGAAGACAGGGCCTTTCTCTTGTTTATTTAACACTAGGGTTGCCCTGTCCAATATGGTAGCCATTAGCCACATTTGGCCATTTAAATTTGAGTTAATTAAAATAAAGTCAAATTAAAAATTCAGTTTTATTTGCAGTAGTCACCACAGTTCAACTGCTCAGTCACCACATTGGCCAATGCCTTTTGTTTCTATTTCAGTATTTCCCTCATTTCTGAAAGTCTTACTGGAAAGCGTTATACTGGGACATTGTACCGTTTTTTTGCAAATAAAAAGCATTAAGTAAATATTTGTTGAATAATGTAAGCTGAGCCCTCAAAGATTAATAGATTCTGTTTAAAAAAGAGTGAAGCATTATTTATATGCCTTTCTCTACCCACAGATACTGATTTACTAGCAGAGCTCATACCTAGACTTAAAATTTCCACTTATATAATGTCATTAATCAATAAATTTAATTTAAAATAAAGAGTTCCAAAATTGTATGATATAGGATGCCAAGAAATATTTTGATAAATCACATTTATATTTTATTGGGATTAATTTTATGTGAATTCATAGCATTTGGACTTAAAAAAAAATCTTCCATCCTATTATGATTGTTGAACTTTGCTTGTAGCTATTATTATAGGTCTGTGGTTGCATTTTCAAAATGCAGGTGTTTTTGATTGGTCTATTCTTTAAAATTTCAGCATGGACAAAACCATATAGACTAATGCATATTGGCAGTAAACTGTGTAATCCTGGTCACAGCATAAGTAAAACAGCAAAAATTGTTTGATTAAACAACTAATTTAATAATTGATTTAATAACATTAGTGTAATATTAGGATCTATACCAGGCATTACATATTAGATTATAGATATATAGTATCATGGTGCATTATATTAGTTAAGAGATATTAATTATATCTTTTTTATGCCTGTGTCACTTGAGTGGAATTTTAAAAAAAACATTTTTTATTTCTTATGGCTCAATTAATAACACATTTAAGATAACCTGTACATAATCAGTTTTTGTAGTGATTTAAAAATTTTTTCAGTTTCTGTTTCCTAATTTACAGTCTTTACTTTGCTTAGTTTAGCATTAAGTCCTTTTGTGGTGTATGTGATTCATAATTGACTTTAAGATACTTGTGAAGAAGTATTTTAAGCAACGGTGATTGGTCACAAAATTTCTACTAATGCTAGAGTTTTAAGATAAGACAGTGTGTTGACGAAGACATAATTCTTATCCAATACTGCAGTTCAATTCCACAGGCTTTTGTTTAGTGTCTCCTGTGTGCCTGGATATGGGAATATGGTGTTAAACCAATGATTCAGGTGTTCCTGTGTTCATTCCTTTTTATTGATAGATATGAAACAGTTTGACTCTTAAGAAGGCTAATATTGGACCTAGACATTTAGGTACTTATTTTCTGATCCACCATTTTGGCAAAATTATTTCATTTCCCTGTTTCCTTTAGTCTGACAAATAGGAATAAATAATTTTTACTTTTCTAATAACAATGGCTTTATGAAAATTCAAATGTCTATTGTTTGTTGCTTCACCTGAGGTTTTTCTTTTATATTAGCTTCTGAAAAGTAGTAGTTATTAGGCAACTTAAGTGAATATTAAACCTTGGATTGTGAGCTTTGCCAATTAACAGGTTTCTTATGAGAGGTTTAGAGAAGTGTTTTTGGTTGTGTTATTGTTGCCATTTGTATTTAGGTAAGGGGAATTAGAGTAGGGTTTTTTTTTAATGAGGAGCAAAATATTCCCCATTTTCTGTTACATGTTAATTTTATAGATTCAACTGTTCTAAAAGTGTTTAGATTTTATTTTATAAGATGTTCACAGTCTATCCAGTCTTTCTGTTTTCTTCCATATTCCCCTGTGTATCCTGTGTTGCAACCATAGCTGCCAACCATTCTGATAATCCTGTCCTTTTCTGAAGTGTATCACAGTCTAGCAATGTATCCCTCAAAGTATGATGGTGATGGTGGGTGGCTCTTAATAAGGGACATCGGTGTGCTTACAAAAACGCACCTTCCAGGGCCCGTCTCCGGATCTGCATTGGGCTTTGTGTGGACCTTGGAGTCTGCAGTATATCAAGCATCCCAGGTGGTTCTGATGCTCACTAAAGACTGAGATTGTTTGCCTGATAGGAGAAACAAATATACAAACAGATTACAGCAGTGCTTCCCAACTCTAATGTGCATATGAATCACCTGGAGTCTCCTGAAAATGCAGGCTCTGATTGCATAGTGAGGTCTGAGATACTGCAGTTCTAACAGGCTCCTCAATAATACTGATGCTGCTGATCCCCTGACCACACTTTTGAGCTGGTTTGCACAATAACTGTATTCATGGGGCATTCTAGAAGCCCCTAAGTAGCTCAACCTGAAGAGAGACAGGGCTTAGAGAAGGCTTCTTAGAAAAAGTAACCCTGGAGCTAAATATTAAAGAACGTGTTCAGTTTTTTGTGTGTGTATGTGGGTGGATTATAGGCAAGTGGACAATAAATAAAGACAATAAAGGCAGATAAGTGAGTGTTGAGCAGAGAAACTTTTATCAGTTCTTTAATAGGGGTTCAAAATGTAAGGCAACTGTGGTAGGAATTTAGTCTGGAGAGTCAGGGCCAGATCACTGAGGGCTTTGTGTGCCATGTCAAGAAACTTGAATTTATTGTCATATAAGTGATGGGAAGTCCCCAATCACTGGATAATCCTGGTTTGATATGCATTTCAAAGTAAACATTGGATTTTATAGTAGTGGTTGTTTTAAATGGGGCAAGATAAGAACCAGGAGACCAATTGCAGTAGTCCGGAAGCCAGGTCCTGTGGCAGTGGAAGTTGGGATATAAAACAGGGATGAAGGAAGAAGGAGAAGTCCCAGGGTTCAAGGATTTGAACCGCCATCTGGTCTCAAGAATAAGAGGCAAAAGGAGCCCTGGCCTGTGTGACTCAGTTGGTTGACCGGTTCGATCCCCAGCCAGGGTGCACGCGGGAGGCAAAGGATCAATGCTTCTCTCTCACATCGATGTTTCTCTCTCCCTCTCCCTTCCTGTCTCTCTAAAATCAATAAAAACATATTTTTTAAAAAACAGAAGCATTAAAAACAAAAGAGGCAAAAGGAACAGGTTTAGAAAGGAAGAAGACGTCTATAATAGCTTATAGCTATTTATCATATAGCTACTTATTTTCCCCCCATAATTAAACCTGCTTAAGGTTAGGAGGCTTGTTTTACTCATTTTTTGTCACAAAATCTAGTCTAGTAGATGTTCAGTAAATGTTTTTTATTGAAAAATTATTTTGAAAGCCTGGGGAGGGGGCTGGAGGAGGGTGGAGAAGGAAGGGGGACATCTGTAAAACTTTCAACAATAAATATAAATTTTTTAAAAATTATTTTGCATGTTGAATAATTTTAAAAAAAGACTGTGCTTAAAAATATATACAATACCTGATGAGTCAGCTATTTAAAAATACTACAGATGAAGCCCTGGCCAATGTGGCTCAGTTGGAGCATGCTCCTGTGCACTGAAAGCTTGCGAGTTCGATTCCCAGTCAGGGCACATACCTAGGTTGCAAGAGGCAACCCACCGATGTTTCTCTCTTTCTCTCTCTTTTTCTCCTTCCTTCCCTCCCTCCCTCCCACTCTCTCTAAAAATTAATAACCATGTCCTCCGGTAAGGATTTTTTAAAAAAAGGCTTGAAATTCTAGCATTCATTCAGTCATTCATCAGTCATTTCAGAGTATTTATTAGGGCCTCTTTGTGCTATATATTTTAACTTCATGATTAATTCTAATGTTGTCCTTTAAGGCCCTTCAAACACTGTCAATTTTATTGAGCATCTTTGTTCCTTCTTGTTTTTTATTGATTTTTTTTTTAGAGAGAGGGAGAGAGAGAGAAACATCAATGTAAGAGCAAAACTTCAATGTACTGCCTCCTAAATGCCCCCTACCAGGGATTGAGCTGAAACCATGGTATGTGCCCTAACTGGGAATCAAAACCGGTTTGCAACCTTTTGGTGCACAGGGATGACGCCCATCTAACTCAGTCACATCGGCCAGGGCTGTTCCTGTTTTCACTTTTTTTTTAATATATTTTTATTAATTTCAGAGAGAGGAAAGGAGAAGGAGAGAGAGAGATAGAAACATCAATGATGAGTCATTGATTGGCTGCAGCCCGCAACCCAGGCATGTGCCCTGACCAGGAATTGAACCCCGATCGCCTGGATCCTAGGTTGGTGCTCAACCGCTGAGCCATGCCTGGCTGGGCTGTTCCTATTTTTTAATGTAGCTGCTTGTTTATAATTGTAGAACTCTGCGCAATATGGTTTAGCTATAGCCCCACCTGAGGTCTAGGCAGGCATGCAGGCCACTGTTAAAGACACTTGGAGATGCCATTAAAGAGATTGTACTGGAAAGGGGCAGAGCAAATGATCCAAAATTTGGGAATCTAGTCAACTCCCATAACGTCAGTGTTTCCAACATACTCCCAAATGGTCACTCACCTGCTTTAGCCTGACAGTATACTACTCATTTAGTGGCATAGGAAAATCATGTTAGTGTGACTAAATTCTTTCTTTCACTGCCCAGACTTGTTCCTTTAAAAAAAAAAAAATTTTTTTTGTTTCTGTTTGTGCTCCCCCCTCCCCCAACAATTTGTTCTGAAGCCTGAAAATTTTGAGATCTTTTGGAGACATTATTTATGATCCACTGGTGAAGCAACTTGATGCAGGGATGAAAAATGTTACTTTTTCTCCATGTAGGATATACTTCTTATATGTATTATTCAGAGTAGAAAAGGCATGAAAATTTGGCTCGCTTCAGTTTTTCAGACTACATACTTAGAGTTCAATTCTAGGGGAAAGAAGAAAAGAGAACAGGCATGTTCTCCAGAGAAATAATAAAGTAAAAACCTCACTGGCCTGATCTTAGGTACACACATGACAAGATTACCCATCTATACCTGCACCAAGGCAGGTTGCACACTAATCTATACCCTAACAGTCATCTGGGCACCATAAAATCCTACGTTATTTCTCTCAGATGCCCACAGCCCAAAATTCCTTTGTAGTTCCTGTGGCCTGTTTAATTTTCTTCCTCTCAGAGTTTTAAGACTTGCGAACTCTGGCATGATCAGAGAAGGAATATTTTCCTAACTTATCTTAGGGGGAGGCCCCAAAGGACTTCTTGGATCTGTCTGCCAGCCACTGCTGCTGAGTGCTTCACTTTGTAAACGTAAGTGTTGTTCCATAGCTGTGTTAATTCTATAAACCTTAGTTTCACCTGCTGTGAATTGAAAATGCTGGACTTTTAGAACCCTTTAATAATTAAGTATGCAAGATTTTAAAATGGCATACCACCAGATGACTTCTGATACTTGCCTCCATATCCAGGAGCAAGTAAAATGAAAACAGATCGTTCTGATAACACTTATAAACAGATAACAGTATGACTTTAAAGGAGGTTTTCTCAACCTCAGCACCATTGACATTTTCGACGAGATACTTTTTATTTATCTATTTTTTAATCCTCACCTGAGGACACATTCATTGATTTTTAGAGAGGGGGAAGAGGTGGGGGGAGAGAGAGAGGAAGGAAGAAAGGAAGGGGCAGAAGGAGGGAGGGAAACATGGATGTGAGAAAGAAATATTGATCATTTGCCTCCCGACCGCGTCCCAGCGAGAGATCGAACCCAGGACCCTTCAGTCTGAGGTTCGACACTCTAACCACTGAGCCAAACCAGCTAGGGCACATTTGTATTTTTTAAAGTGTTTTTACTTTTTAAAATTCATTACAAGTTTTTTCTCAGAGGCTATATTATTTGTAAATAAATTTAAATAAAAATAGATTTATTCTAACATTCCTTAAGAATTAAGCAGCAGCTATAAGCATAATTCCTTTTGGCAAAGTAATGAAAATTGAGATTTTTTTATATTTTTACAGGTTTTTGACTTTATTTGCATTGAACAAGTGTGGAAAATTCTCTTTTTTAAGTGTACTTTTAGTCTTCAGGCTACTGATAAACTGGCTTCAGGAAATTGAGATGAGTTGGATTGGTTTCTTAACCCAAAATATCTCTTTTTAAAAAATTGAAACAAAGGTTTGATTGATATTTCTAAGTTGTGAGAATATATTAGGGTGGGAACGTTTTGGGTTTTTTTTTTTTGCTTTTGCAAGATAGGAGTTTAAATTATTGGAAAGTTAGAATTAGTTTATTATTTTTCTGAATCAGAAAGACTTCAGTGGTTTGATAGTAAAGATGGAATCTTATGTTTTTTTCTTTCAGGTTGACAATTGCATTTTTTGCACTCTCTGGCCTGGATATGTTGGATTCCTTAGATGTGGTGAACAAAGATGATATAATAGAGTGGATTTACTCCCTGCAGGTCCTTCCCACAGAAGACAGTGAGTGAGTTTTTAGCATTTTATTGTTAGTGTGATATATTGGATTAGCATATCTTTGTATTTATTCATAAACTATTAATATATTTTATTCATCTATGTTTTTCTTGTAATGCAACACTCCCATTCCATTCAAATACAACACTTAAATCTAATCTTTAATCTTTGGGGAGAACAGTTTAGAGTTGTCTGGGATTAAAAGATTCACAGCTGTAGCACCATCCTGTGTTGGGCACTTCCACATTGATGACTGCTTGTTGATTATTTGTATTTGATATTTGTTTGACTCGTTTTGTGCCTTTACTCCTTTTATTTTTTTATCTCTTCAGTGAAAAACTATTTGCCATCAGAAAGTTTCATATCAATCTCCTGATCATCTTCCCTCTACTGTTTCATTCGCATTTCTTTAATGGTTTCTTAGAGCTCTTACACTTCAGTCATTTTTATACTTCTTAAAACTTTACAAATTTTGATTAATTAAATTCTCAAAATTCAGAGATTACCTGATCAGCTAAATACACACAGATTTTATAAACACCATTTATAAACTCACTCTGTTAAGTGTAAAATACCTAACATCAATTTAACTTATAAATGTTAGAAATTATAACCTGGAAAAGATCAAGCAAATAAGCTCCCAGAAAATCACAAAATTTTTATCAGTGGTCACCACATCTGTCTTTGTTTTTTTCCTAATGTTTTTTTAATTGATTTTAGAGACAGAGGAAGGGAGAGGGAGAAAGAGAAACATCAGTCGGTTGCCTCCTGCATGCATCCCAACCACCAGGGATCCAGCCTGCAACCTGGGCATGTGCTGTGACTGGGAATTGAACCAGAGACCTTTCAGTACACTGAATGTCGCTGAACTAACTGAGCCATACCAGTAGAGTCATCATTTATGCATTAACAGTGTTGTTCATTGGTTGGAGTAATCATGTATAAATCTCACCTAGATGAACTTTGGGTAAGTAAACTAAAGCTTTATTTAGAAAGGAAGAGGTTTGATCTATTAGCAGATACTGTTGGAAGTCTTCAGTGTTTGTTTTTATATAACTTTTAAAATCTGTGCCTGTTGCCCTGTCCCATGTTACTCAGCTGGTTGAGCACAGTCCCTTGCACTGAGAGATCACTAGTTCAATTCCAGGTCAGGGCACATGCCCAGATGACAGCTGGATCTCCAGTAGGGAACGTGCAGGAGGCAGCTGCTCGATGTTTCTGTCTCATCAATGTTTCTCTCCCTTTCTCTCTTTCTTTAAAATCAATTGAAAAATATATTTTTTAAAAACTTGTGCCTATTGATGAATTCTTGTTAAAAATGATGGTGCATTTTGAACTAGGTCTATCAGAACATAATACATAACACTTTTCATCAGCTGCAGGAAACAGCATATGTGATATAATGGTTAGTAATAGAGTCTAACATGTTGGTGAGTTAGGATTTATTAAATATTGTGTTAAGAGTACTCTGCTAAACCCAGGGAGAAGGACTTTGATAAATTACGAGATATGGTCCTCATTGTCTAGGACAGTGATTTTCAACTGGTGTGCTGCAAGAATTTTTAAGACATGCAATACCTGACTATTTAGTCAGGGGCACTGACGTCTTTTCCCTTAGAGTGTCAAATAAAGTGACAACGGCCATCACAATAGCCATCCAGTGTGAATGAATCAAATTTATACCTATTTTTTTGTCAGATCAGCAAAAAAAATAAATATATTTTTTGGTGTGCCACAGAATTTTAGTAATTAGTTTATGTGTGCCATGAGATGAAAAAGGTTGAAAATCACTGCTCTAGGAACTTGTGCTGACATGAGGTCACGGTTCTAGTCACCTGCAAATGAAAGTAATATGTATTTTCCCTTTATACCAGGATTTTACATATTTTTTTTACTAGCTTAAGTGAAGTCTAGGATTTTTTTTTTTTTTTGTAAGTTGGATATTAGACAGATGTAAGGTAGTATTACAGATTCTGTCTCTTGTTTTTTTACTAAAAATGTATGTCTTAATCAAAGTATACACTGTATTTTTGTAAATAAGCATATCTTGCATAGTACAGATAGGAAATTATACACTGTTATGTAGAAAAGCTATTCTGTAAGTTTTTGCTGAAATATATTTTGTATTATATTTAGAAAAATTTTATTGATATTCATTTCTCTGAAATAAAATAACCATTGTGTCTATAGAAAAGTATGGACTATATTTTAGTGAGAGAATTCATACTATTGAGGTTACAGTTACCAGAACATTGGTAACTTATTTGCTGTGCTTCCTACTTTTGTCTTTTCTTATGCCCCCCCGCCCCCCGTAAGGACTGTTTGCTGGCTTTATGATTGAGCTGTGTTTTTGTCTCCTCTCCAGTATGTGTTTACTTTCCTCTACCATTGTATTAGTGAAATGAGTTATTGACAGCACTCTAATACACATATTCTTTTTAATGACTGCTTCCTTTTCTCATTATTTGATCTTTTGTTATGAGAGATTTGCTGACAATTTGAACTTCTATATTATCCATAATACTTATATTTGCTACATACTCACTAGAATGTCTAAAATGGAAAAGGTGGAATAAAACAAGTGTTGATGAGAATGTAGCACAACTGGAACTTTCATAAAATGCACAGAAGTACATAGTCTATTAGTCCACTGATATAAAATACAAAAATAGGCAAAACCAATCTCAGCATTTGAGGAGTAGCCAGAAGGACATAGGGGGCTTCTTAATGCTGTTATGTACTTTTTCTTTAGCTGAGTACTGGTTTTGCAGGTGAGTTTACTTTGCAGAAGTTTATTATCAAAGTTTATTTTGAGCTGTTTAATTATCATAGATATGCTTTTCTGATGTTTATTATACTTTGATGAAAGTTCTAAAAGTTTTTTAAATTAGGGTTGGTACTTACCATCTCTTTTGAGACCATCAGAATTCTCTTTGACATTGTATTGTTGTCTCCACAGACTCCATTGATTTGAAGCCCATTGCTAATTTTTTGTAATTATTGCTGCTTAACTATTGCTTAAAATGTTTTTGCTATCATCCTAATTGTAAACTTCTGGGGGACAGAGAATGTGTCTGTCTTACATTTCTTTTCCCTCTCAGTGCCTAAAGCATATTTCAGCTGTTGTTGGACTGTTAAATCACTTGTACCTTCTCCAACTTTACTGTTCCTCCTTTCTGTATTTTCACATTTAGCCTAGAGCATCCTCTGGCACCTCCAATTCTCATTCATAAGGCATTTGCAGACTGAGTAGAATAGTCTTTCTGTACTCATAGGTCTATATCTGTCCTACTTTTTGACAGCATATAAAATCTTAGGGAATATAAAAATCTAAAAATGTTAAACAAAACCCAGAGACCATAAAGGAAAAATATGATAGATTTGACTAAATAATTATTTTTAATGTTATGTAGTGAAAGATAACAAAATTAGGTAAGTGGCAGACTTGGAGGAAATAGTGGTAATACGTAATAGACAAAATATTAATATTAGTATATATATTGCCACAAGTCTGTGTAGACTGAAGAATTTTATTTTTTAAATAAATCTTTATTGATTTCAGAGAGAGGAAAGGAGAGGGAGAGAGAGAGCAAGAAACATCAATGATGAGAGAGTCATTGATTGGCTGCCTAGCTTGCAACCCAGGCACTTGCCCTGACCAGGAATCTAACCCCAATTGCCTGGATTCTAGTTTGACATTCAGCTGCTGAGCCACGCCCAGCTGGGCTAGACTGAAGAATTTTAAAGATTGAGAAGAAAATGACACATCATTGTTTAGAAAATGACAGAATGTATGAACAGGTAATTCACAAAAGAGTACAGATAGTCAATAAATATGTGAAAAGAGGTAACCTTACTAGAAATCAGGGAGATGTAATAGAAACAATGATGTTACATTATTTGTTACCTAACATGTCCAAAAGTTTTTAAAAGTTGGCAAGAATGTGGGGGAGCCCTGGCCAGTGACTTGGTTGGAGTGTTGTCCTGTATACCAAAAGGTTGCAGATTCGATTCCTGGTCTAGGTTGAGTGTTTGATTTCTGGCTGGGGCATGAACAGGAGGCAACCAATCGATGTTTCTCTTTCACATCGCTGTTTCTCTTTCAATCTCTTTCCCTCCCTCCCTCC